ATGGGCGGGCACAACCTGGGGTGACTCCTGGTGGCAAGCCCTCCAGAGCCCCTCAGAGCAGCTGGGGTGCTTGGGGGGGTGGGCATGCATATGTGTGGTGCACAGTACCCTTATAATCTGGCAGAGGCCAGGATCCTTGCCACATGGGGCTAGGTAAACCGGAGGCTGGGGAGGAGCAGGCAACCCAGATGCTCACAGAATCTGGCTCTCTGGGCAGGGTAGGGATATAGGTGGGGAGGGACATGCATGCACATGGGGCTGTGGGGCGCACGGGAGGGGCCCCTACATCAGGAAAGCTTCCTGGAAGAGACCTCTGAATGAGACTCAGGGAACCATGTGAGCCACGGGGAGACTTCAGATTCAGGACCAGTATGTACTTCCAGAGCTGAGGAAGGTCTCAGGGCTCATGGCCACCTCCCTGATTACTACTCAGGAATCTGCTTGGTAGCCTGAGGGATCCTGGGTGCTGGGACCCTGCTCACCTAGGAGACCTGGCAGCACCGTGCGGGCACTAAGGCCGAGATGGAAGTCAGGAACCTGCATTAGCCAGCCCTGCATCCGGCACTGGTGGGATCATAAAGGGTACAGAGATGGCACCTAAGTAGCTGGTGGGCCCCACTCCCCTTCCCTGACCTCAGCAGACATTACTAATGGATTGCATCACTTCACCCTGAGTCAGCCCAAAGTTGCAGACAACTGGCCATGATCTATTAGTCAGTTGCTACCCTGGCGAAACCAACCTGCATTCTTGAACCAGACATAGACAGGACCCAAAGGCTGGGGTGACTGAGTCAGCAGCCTAGTGGGAGGGCAGTGGTCACAACACGCAGGAGTTCCAAAAGCAGCAAGGTAAAGGGCAGGGCAGGGGTGGCCAGGCTGGCTGGGCAGAGCCGCAGGCAAGGAAAGTGGAGGTGACTCAGCTTGGCAGGGCTTTACTTAACAGAGCACTTTTACTAAATGCCCTAGACGGGGCATCCAGGACTCACTTCCACTCCAGTGGGCAAAGCAGGGCCTGAACCAGTGGGCGCACCTGGCACCATGGCCTTCGGACCACCTGGCAGACCCACTGACTTGCTCTGAGCTGATGGCCCAGCTTGCGGACACAGGACTGGGCCTCAGCCCTCCTGCAGGCTCATCCTGCACAAGGAAAGCAAGGTGTCTGGCCACTGGCTAAGGACCCAGGAAAGGGGAGCCCTCATTTGTGCACCTGCTGGCTTCTGGGTCGTGTACACACTCCCACTATAACACCCTTGCTGGGTGCCACAGATTCCCATGGCCACTGTCTGGGCCAGGAGCGGTGGCACCGGCAGCTGAGGCTGGCCTTCCTGCTCCCTGTCTCTCCTTCCTTCCATCTTCCCTTCCTTTCTTCCTCTCTTCCCCCTCCTCTTTTTGGGACTGAGATGAAACTAGTCATGCCCTTTACCACGAGCCATATGCCCAGCCCAGTCTCCCACATCCTTGGTACGCGGCAGGTTTTCCTTTTCTTTAGCCTCCTGAGCAGCTGGGGCTAAAGGCCAGCCTTTCTTCCTGTTGCTCTCAAGCAGACACACTGAGAGCCATCACTGCCCCACAGAGCCTCAGCAGGGTGCATCTAGGGGCTGTGTTTGGCTCCCTGCAGCCATCCATCCTGAGACCCCGCTGGCCTCTGTCCCTGCCCTCCCAGGTCCCTCCCTCCCCTGGGGCCCACAGACCCTGTTGGACCCTGTTGTGCAGGGGGTGAGGCCTCTCTCAGGCCCATGCTCAGCCTTTCCAGGACCAGCTGGAGGGACTGGGGCGCCAGGACTGCCCCTCACAGGACTGGGAGTGTCAGGGCTCCACCAGCTCCTCCACCTTCACTCTGGGCCGGAGAATTGCAAATGACCACAACTGTCTTTCAGATGAGGGCAAGAGGCTCAGGCCCTCAGACCTCAGGAACCTGTGGCTAGGAGCCCATGCTGGCCCTGACCACCTCACTGCCTGGTCCGCTGGCCTCGAGACTTTGCAGTGACCACTGTGCCCTGCAGCTGGAGGCCCTGAGTGGAGAGCAGCAGCACCCTGGATGCTCGGGTCCTTTCCGCGGCAAACGGCCTTGGCTGGTCTGGTGACCAGGAAGAGCCAGTCGCCCCCTAGTGTCTAGGCAGCAGCAGGACTCAGGTGGCTCCCTGGGAGATGGGGAACTGTGGAGACCAAGGCAAAGCAGGGCGGGGGGAGCAGCCACTCCTCAGGAGGGTCCCCAGGGGTGAATAAACGAGAAGCTGGGCATCCAGAGTTTTTCTGTGAAATCTGATTTTTTAATATCAACCATATATATATATATATATATATATATATATATATATATATATCTAGTCCACAAAAAAATGTATACACCCCTCAGGAAAAATGTCTAGAAAGCTTATGGCCACTACTTTGAGCACCTCTTGTAATTGCAGAGGTCAAATTAAATAAATTTAATATTAAAACATTGTTTTTCTTTTCCTGAAGTGTACATGCATTTTTTATGGCAGACTCCGTACATATACATATACATAAATATATGTGAATTTTTTGGAGACAGGATCCATGTAGCCCAAGCTGGCCTGAACTCATGACTCTCCTGTGATTCTATATTAAAAAAAAAAAAAAATTACAAATATCTCCAAACCACTCGGTGACCTCTGGGCTTGGGTCTAAATCTCTGCAGAGCCCGGAGGTCTCCCCCTTCTCTGCGGCGCTTGGCTGCCATCCTAGTCCACCACGAGGCTGGGTGCACCCTGGAGACCACTCCTGGGGCCCCTGTAGCACAGCCATCTCTCCACGCTGCCTGAAGGCATACCCTTGCGTGGTGTCCTCGCTGCAGAGCCCTGCCATCCTTGCCCACATGCCCCACTCCCTGTGCTTGCTCCGCACCCTGCTCCTAGTTTGTGGTTTCTAGGCTCCCCATACCCAGACTCCCAGAGCCTGGCCCCTGCATGGCCTCTATGCTGTGACCACACCTGTCGCTGTCCTTTCTAGCCAGCCCTCTCTGCACCTAGCCCAGCTCCTCAGGGGGCCCTTTCCTCATATTCCCAGAGCCCACTGGGACCCAAGCCCATGGGTCCTGTCACCCACCCAGCAGGGCATCCGCGCCCCTCCCGCCAGGCCCTCAGCCATCTGACTTGAATACAGCTGTGCCAGCACCGGCCGTGGGGGCACACACCACTGACCTCTGTGGAAGCTGGGTTTCTGCGGAGAGGGTGCTGTCGGTGCGGCCCTGCTCTGCTCTGTGAGGTCCTGAGTCTCCAGCCTCCCTGTGCCCACGTCCCAACCAGCCAGGGCCAGAGCCCAGAGCCCCGACCTTCTCCTCTTGGGATGGGCTCCTGCTGTGGCCTGGCCTAGCTGGGGCATCTGACTCTGCCCTGAAGCCCAGGCTCCCACTAAATGGGAGTGCAGGTCGGGGGGTGCAGTGCTTGCCCAGAACAAGGCCAGAGGCCCGGCTTGGCGGCCAGGACACCCCCTGTTGTTCCCTTACTTGGAGGAAAAGCCACATATGCACGCACACATGCATGTGCGCACACACCGTCACCACTCCAACCTCCAGGCCTCCAGCTCCTGGACCCCATGCGTACCACACCTTGGGGATTTGGTGCCTCTGCTTCTCCAGTCCCCATAAGGCTCCTTGTCACCTCTTCCAGCTGCTGCTCAGCACCACTGACCAGAGTGCCCATGGCCCCTCTCACCCATTTAAAACTATGGTCCTGGAAACTAGCGGAGGTAACATCGTCTGACACAGTGAGTGCACATTTAATGCCAGGACTATACACTTAAAATAGACAAAGGCAAACATATTTTAACCCCCAAAGCAGACAAAACTGCACACCCTGCTGCTAGCCCCCACTAGCCTCACTCCAGTCACTGGCTTTTCTCCTGCCTCAGCCCTGGAGGGCGCGAGCCCCAAGAAGGCAGAGCTTAGTGTACCTGCCGCACTGGGAGCAGCCCTCAGCACATGCATGTCCAGGGTCTGCCACGGCATACACAACCATGGGAAGCAGTCAGTGCTTTTCCAAAGTGACCTCAGCTCCCTGCCACCATCAGCAGCTCAAGTGTCACTGACATCTGGGGGGTCCCCAAAATGGCCCTGTATTTCTGGACTGTGGCCACTAGGGCAGCCTGTCAGGGACATAGCAAAGGAATGAATGTGGTGAGCAAGGAGGCAGAGGGGTTACCCAGAGGGCCTCAGCCTCTGGGCTGGGCGTCCTCATTTGTAAATGAGGACAGTTGCCTCCCTGGGGAATCGTGGACAGCAGACAAGCCAGAGGGGCTGTGTAGGGCCAGCAGGCTGGAGCTCAGGGTCTCAGAGCTTTCCCAGGAAACCTGGCCTGCACCCAGCTCTTGTCTTCAGAGCCTAAGCCTGAGCCACCTTACTCTTCCCTTCCCAACTCTGGTGTGTATCCACCACTCCAAATGCAGCAGCCACGAAAAGCGCATTCTGAAGATCTGCCTGCAGAGGGCACCCCAGCCCCACGGGGAGCACTCTCCACCTGCTCTTTTGTGCAACTAAAGTCAGTATTGCTTTGCAGATGAAGGAGCCCCTGAGACCTTGCCCCATCTCAGCCAGGAACCCCACAACTGGCAGCATTTATCTCATCCAGAGAATGCAACCCCCATGACCTGCAGCCCACCACCCAGGGCATGTGCTTGTGCCATGGTTAGAACTCAGTGCCTCCCCCTTCCCCGTCACCTACAGGGGACCCCAGGCTGAGGGAGATGAGCAGCGTGTGGTGCATGCAGCTGGGATCTCAAGGATGGTCATCCAGGAACTCAGGCTGGCATTCTAGGGTCCCTGGGGGTGAGTCAAGGAAGCAGGAGAAGCCCCTGCAGAGCCCGTCTGTGCTCACGTGGCAGCGACAGCCACCCTGCTGCTGGTCTTCCTTGGAGGGCACCTGGCCTGAGCCACTCCACGGGCAGCTGTCTTCCTGCCCTAGCCACCTGTGCCGGGCCTGCTGTGTTGTCTGGCCTGGGCTCTGTCATCCCCTGTTAATTCCCCATCCCATCCCTGGCTTCCACAGAATGTCCCTGTGACCTGGGCCCAGAGGGCAGAGCAAGTTCTGGGATGCAGGTCAGAGGCCATCTGCTGACCTGGCCCAAGTCACCTGGCAACCCCTTTAGGTGGCGCTGCCTCTCCAGCACCTGGAGCTATGCTGAGCACACGCTGATTCCCCAGGGCAAGTGTGTGTAAAACCTGCAGGCACTCACTGCCAGAGCAGATGCCCAGGCAGCAGCCAGCCTAACCTCTCCCTTGGAACCCTAGTGGCCTTGGTGACCATCTGTGTGGGACAGGAAGTGGAGATAGGCGGTGATGGCCACTGCATCCAGCAGCAGGGTCCACAGAGCTCCATGCATGCCCACAGTAGGCTGACTTGAGCTTCATGCTTACAGCCTTGGGTCCCAGCTACTCCGAAAGATCACTGGAGCCCAGGAGCTTGAGACTGGCTTGGTCAGCAGGATGAGGTTGCATCCAGCAGCAGGGCCCCCAGGCATAGGGCATGTCTGGTCCTGGGGCCCACAGTTCCGAGGTCAGCTCTGTGCAGCAACCACCATTGTGCAGGAAGACACCACCCTGCTCTGTACTCAGCTGCCAGGTCACCAGCTTGCTGTGAGCCTTGCAGTCCCAGCTACACATGAGGTGACAGGCAGGTAGGTGTCTTGAGGCTCAACTAGGAAGGCAGGTTGAAGATACTGGATCTGCCAGAAGGCCTGTAGAACTGGCATGGAGGCGAGGCTTTGCTTGGGCTGCTCTTCTGTGGAATGTGGCTCCCAGACCACGGAATGGCATCTTATCTCCTGGGCTACCACAGGGGTGGCTCCACCGGCTTGTCCTGCCCACCTGCCCTTGCAAAGGTCTGAGCGTGTCTTCTTACTGCATTTCAGTGGGCATCAGGATACCTCACCTGGCTCGTGGCTCCTGCACTAGGGGCACCAGCTGGGCACTGCCAACCCTGCACATCTTCTCCCAGGGCCTCGCCCCACTTGGGTCCCCAGGCCCTGGGCTTGGGCTACTTCGGGACAAACCCAGTTTTCCCACTGCCACTTTGCTTGTGCCAGACTGCCTGGCCCACGTGTCCTGGGCAGTGAGCCACCTAGTACTGTCTGTCTCTCTCCGGGCACCTTAACCCTCCGTAGCGCAGCAGTGTGACAGGCAGACCTACAGCTTGGTGTTCAAGTGGAAGGGCGGTGGCGCATAGGTTGTGACAGGTGGCATGTGCCAGGCAGGCAAGGCTGGGCCGAGTCTGTGGCGAAGGGCACTGTCAAAGGATGCAGAGGGGAGGTGCATCAGACTGGTGGCCATGGGCGAGTGGCTGGTTGTGGCCAAGAAATGGGCCGGGAAGGCAGGGATGACCAGGGGGCTGAAGGGCAGTGCTGCCTGGCCCTTTAGTGGATCTGGGCCGCTGGCAAAGCTGAGCGGGCAGCGCAGCATAGTGCCCCGGTAGGCCTCCGGTGGGGCTGGCCCTAGGGCCGGGCCCAGCAGGCAGGAGACAGCCGTGCCGGGCGCCGTGGGCTTCACCCCATGATCTTTGGTGTCCACCTCCTTCAGGAAAGGAGATACTACTCGTAGTTTTTTGCCACCATGGGCAAAGCCCTCCTCATCCAGGCTGCGCTTGTTGCTCAGGCTGGGGTTGCTGGGGATGCTGGGAAGGGGCATAGGACTGTTGGCAGGGACTTTGGCAATAGGGGACACCCAGCAGGCTTTGGGCTTGGGGTAGACACTTTTTCTGGAGCTACCTTTGTGGAAAGCAGAGGGGCGGCTGGCATTCCCACCCCACACTAGTGGAGGGTCTTTGGCAGAAAGCCCCTCCACTCTGCCTGGGGGCCCCAGTAGCACCCTGTCTTTTAGGCTGGAGAAGAAGTCCCGAGGGTGCTGGTTGATAGGTCGCAGCACCTCAGTGGGGCAGGCATGGAAAGAGCCCATGAAGACAGGGGCAGGGCAGGGGCCCCCTGGAGTCTCTGGCTGCACACTGCTTTCTGACACCGGCAACCCCTCCGGTGGGGCTGGCTGGCACCCCAAGTTCTCAGCCCGCCCTCTTGGGCTCCGGGAACTCTCTGTGAGCTCCCTGTCAGAACCATCTGCCCCGTGGCAACAGCCCTTCTCCTGGCACTGCAAGGCCTCTGCCTTGCTGACCTGAGCCAGGAGCTTCTTCTTGGCCAGAGGTGACATGACACCATGTGTCCCTTTGCAGTAGAAGGTGGATAGGAGCCGCTTGTAGGCCTCAGGGCAGATCCCAGCGCCCACAAAGGGCGAGGAGGACCCAGCAGCTGGGTGCAGTGGCTCCGTGCTGCGCCCAGGGGCCTCCTGGCTACGAAGTGCAGTCAGCTCAGTGGCATCCGTTTTGGTCTTTTCTGGTATCACCTGGAAGGAGAAAAGCCAGGCCTCAGGACGGGCTGGGCTAGGCATCCTCCCTGAAGACCCAAGGGCAGCAGGTTCTAGGGGTGCACATGGCCCCAGCAAGCCCCAGTGCTGTGAGTGGAAGCAGGATCAGGACAGAGCCTGGTTAGTTGGTATGAGCCGGATGGCAAAGTCCATGTGTGCCACATTCCCAGGGGACCTGGGTGTCCCACCCCACCCTTGATGCAGTTCTGGGGCCCATGCTGGGAGGACTGCAGCCACAGCCAACTTTGGAGGGGCTGCTGAGGACAGTGGACAAGAGCCAGGATCCTCGGCACTCACCTGGGCCATCTGCCTCTCCTCCTTGGTCTTCTTCGCCCGCTCGGTGGTCCCATCCTCCCCCCGTGGTTCCTTGGCCATCTTGTACTGCTTCCTGGGCTTGGAGGGGGGCAGCGGCTTGTCATCCTCCCCCTTCAGGTGCCGCACGTACGGGAGGACCAGCCTGGGGAGAGCCAGGCACGTCTTCCAGGAGCTGGGGCCAGCCTGGCCTGATGGCGCAGCCTCCTCGGAGCCCCCCACCCTGGCCCCACGGAGAACCCAGAGGCCTCCTGCCCTCATCTCACACCTCCGGGACCTGGTGAAGATGCAGCACACATGCGTGTGTGCCCACTGCAGAGCCAGCTAGAACACGGTTCTTGTCCCTCTACTGGGCACATGCAGGGCATCTCTCTGCAGGTTCTGCCCAGCCCCGCTCCCAGCTGACCTCCACCAGAGCCTGGCAGGGGACGCTACCTCTCATAGTGGCGGCGTGTACACGTAGCTGCACTCGTGCTGCCCGGGCTGCCCCCTAGCTCATCATACACGTTCTTCCAGAGGCGGCGGCCGGTCACCTGCAAAGGCGTCTGGTGAGAGCCAGGCCGCGGCACCTGTGCCAGGGGCTGTGTGCTCCAGGTACTCCTTGCAGGGAGCGCTGGGCAGAGCTGTGCGTGAAGGAGCTCCACAGCCTCCCGCCTGACTGACTGCCGGCCTGGGCGGCTCTGGAGCACAGGATGGAACAGATGGGGAAGAGGAGAACCTGCTTACAGCAGCAAAGCATCCACGGCCCAGGCTGGGACGGGGACCCTGGCTCTCCCTCCCCCAGCATCAGCCTCCTGGGGTGCAGTGGGATGTGCAGATGAGGAGGGGTCCCCAGCTTACCAGCTCATAGGCCCCCAGCTTCTCCACAGCCTTGTAGATCTTCCACAGGTTAACTGTAGGAGAAGGCAGGGCAGCTGTCAGGCTCTGCGGCCCCCATACCCAGAAAGGGCCATGTGATGATCCCAGGCTGGGCCCAGGCATCACTGCCACAGCCCACGGGGAGGGAGTCTGGCTCCGCCCCCTGCCAGCCCCAAGCCTGCAAGGAGGTGTCCTGTGACCCCCTCAGGAGCCAGCCCCACTGCCCTACCTGGGCGGGTCTCCTTGGCCCTCCTCCTCCCCCAGAGACCCTGCCTACACCCCAGGGACGCACTCTGCTTGAAGCCAAGATGGGGCACCCTCTCGATGGGCGTGTGCCGCTCCTTCATGAACTTGTAGAGGCTGACCAGGAAGGCCTGTTCCTCCTCCCGCTCCCCGCCTGCCTCAGGGGGGTCCTGGGGAGAGAACGGAGGCGTGGGCCCGGGGCTGGAGCTGAACGAGGGTGGTGACCACTGAGCATGTGGAGAAGATGGTGGCAGCCCCCACCTGCCCCGGGCCACAGTGACGGCTGCTGGGCACACAGGCATTGGTGTTGGTGCCAGCTGTGGGAGCTCAGTGTCAAGGACTGGGGCCAGAGCCCAAGGCAGCAGTTCGGGGACCACTGGGGCATCCCTGCCCTCTCTGGGTGAGGGTCACAACTTTATCTTGCTCTTGATTTGCTTGTCTTGGTTCCCCTATCAGTTCCTGGGAGGTGGGCTCAGTGTCCCCAGGGCCCCAGGCTAAAAGCAGGTGCTCAGAGCGTCCTGTGCCACAGGGCCCTCTGCTGGCTGTACAGCTGGCTGTAAACACAGTTTTGCACCACAGACTGCCTCTCCTGGCTCTGCAATCAGTGCCTCACTGAAAAGTTTGAAACCCACTGCCCAGTGCCCAGCTCTTGCACCTCCAAGGCAGGCCACAGGTGGCCCTGCAGTGCCAGGAACAGGAATGTGTCTCCCTCTGAAGGCTGGCGGGGGCTGAGTCCCCTGGAGCTGACAAGATCCTGGGGCTTCGCCCAGCTTACCTCCTCCAGCTGGATGGGGCTCTGGCTCCTGCTCCGCTCACCATCAGGACCTGGGAATGCAGGGGCGTCTAGGGGGTTGCCCTCCTCAGGCTGCTTCTTTTTTCCTCTGGCAGGGGCTGCTGCTGGGAGAGCAGGAAGAAAGGCAAGGACAGGAGGGGAGAGGGCTTGTGAGACACAAGGAGGAGAGCAGATGGTGAGGAGCTGCAGCCGGCTGGAAGCATGCACCCTCTGCCTGCCCTTGGCAGCTCATCTAACACACAAACGCACACTCACACTCACAGGCTCACACTGGCCCCAACCCCCACTCTGCTTCACTCCCCTCCCACCCCAGCACTCCACATCCCCAGGGGACCCACTAAACCTTAGGGCAAGTCTGAGGGGTCTGGTAGGGCCCAGATACTGGGAACTCCAGTCTCCAAAACCTGCCCCCATTCACTGGCCACCGCAGCTTGCAAACTGGGGGTCCTGTCAAGGCTCCCGCATCTGTGACCCCCAAACACCCAGCTGCCTCCAGGAATTATCCAGCAGAGATACACAGCCTACCCCTGAGCACAGGCAAAGCTCCGGCCAGCACTGCCTGTGCCCTGCTGCCCTCCACTGCAGGACTTTTAGGAGGCCCTGGTCCAGTCCTTGGGGACTCCCCAGCCCTGCCTAGCACCAGGCCTTTCACTCCTGTCCCATTGACCTTGGCTTCCCGGGGCCATCCTCACGGAGGCAGCTGGTGCTTGTCCACCCTTGTGCTGATCCCTTGGTGAGGCCTCCAGGCCTCAGGACAGATGCTGGGGAAGCAAGAAGGGGCCGCGCTCTGGTCGCTGTGGAGACCATGCTGTGGACTGGCAGTGCCCTGCACACGGGGAAGCCACACCTTATGACACCCTTCCTGCCTGCTGCCTTCTGCCAATCTGGTCTCCATGGCCCTGCTCTGCCCTGGTTTGCTCCAACCCAGAAAATCCTACTTGGTGGGAACCTGTGCGATGTCCCCCCATTCGAGTCTCCCTCGGGACCCCCAACCTGTATCGACCCAGCAGCCAGTGGCGTGAGAACTGGGACCACCAACCGGCCTCTCTGAAAGCTGTTCCTGGAGGTACAGCAAAACCTACCGCAGCTGCTCACGCATGTCCTGTGTGCCTCCCTTGGCCAGGGTCCCTGCCTCCTTTCCCACAGTCCCAGAAAGGATTATTCTGGTAGTCAGGGTAGTCCAAGCCAGCCTTGAATTCACTGCATACGCTGGCTGGCCTCGAACTCACAGCAATCCTCCTGCCTCGGCCTCCTGAGTGCTAGGATTACAGGTGTGTGCTACCACACCCAGTTAGAAATGGGAGACTCCCGAGCTCTTTGCTAAGTCTCTACCATTATCACCCCCGCGCACACTGCACCCACAGCCCCTGTGCTTCCTTCTGCTCCCTGCCACTGACCCCACGTCTTTCTGAGTGGGACCCGGGCTTCTCCCTGCAGCCCTCCTGCATGTCACTTCCCCTTGGGGTCCAGAGAAAAAGTGGCTCAACCAGGCACAGTGTTATACTTCCTAGCAACTTGGGAAACTGGAGCAGGAGGATTGCTTGACCCCACAAGTTTGAGGCCAGCCTAGGCAACATGAGACCCCACTCAGGCTCAAAAACAAAACAAAAAGAAGGTAAGTGAACCATTAGGAAGCCTCCAATGCTCAAGGTCTTGCTTGGGACACTGGAACTTACAGTACCCAGGAGAAACCAGCCAGGCAAGCATCTCTCGTCCTTTCATGGGTCAGTTTTAGAACTTAGGTGCTCTGCCTGGGCTGCTGCGCCCAGGGAAAATATCCTGGCAACAGGCACTCGGGTTACCTGGAAAGGAGGTCACCACCAGAGCCCCAGCCAGGAAGGGACAGCTCCTCCTGAGCCACACCATGGGTGCTCTCCAAATGAACTTGGTCCTGTCCTCTGGAAGTGGCTGGCACGCTCTGTCCTGACAGGGCCTGGGCTGCCAGTCCCATGAGGGTTCCCTGCTCACTGCTCCAAGGTGCCCTCTGTCCTACCCCTGTCAACCCTAACCTCTCCTCCCCTAATCCAGGGTCCAGATCTGGGTTCTACTTATAAATCTAGGTAATCTTTAGTTGTAAAATGTCTATATGCTATGAATAAATTTGAACCCCATGACACGTGTTTGGTACTAGTGCTCTTGTCCCCTAATCCCTCCCCTCCCTGATCATTTATAGATCTAGGTGCTGTGTCCTGGTTCCATTGTAGATCCACTAATCTCTAAAGAGGGTCCTGGCCAATTGTGGTGACACATCCCTATAATCCCAGCACTCAAGAGGCTAGGCAGGAGGATCACCATGAGGCTGAGTCCACCTGGGCTACATGGTGAGTTCAAACCCAGCTAAACTACGCAGTAAGACCTATGCTCACCACAAGGACGTCATTTGGGGGCCTGCCAGATAGCTCAGCAGACTAAAGCACCTGCTTAGGCAGAGCGTAGCGGCTGGGATTTGATCCCTGGTTTGCCATTCAGGCCCTGCCCCTACCCCTGGGTCACACTGAGACAGCCATTGAGACCGGGCATGGTGGCATGCACCTGTAATCCCAGCACTTGGGAGGTTAAAAACAGAACAATCACTACGAGTCCGATCTATGTAGTGAGACCTTGTAGACACCGTACTAAATACATTAAGAAAAAAAAAAGCATGTCATTCAGACCTGACTTTCCATCCAGGGGACGCTAGCCAAGGGTAATTAGTGCTGCACTGTTCACTTATAACACATCTGGGGTCTCTGGTGTAAAGGAGACAGGTATTTCATGGTTTCCCGCTGGTCCAGTGGTAGTGGTCCTGACGATGCCTTCCCCAGGATCCAAAATGCTGCTTTCCCGGTCGCAGCACCCACACAGAGCACACTCGGGTCCTTCTAGACTTCCCACCTTGCTCCCTTTGCTGTAGAGCGCTGGCATCCGTGTGCCTGCTTTCAATTGTGGGTGGCTTTGTGCAACAATTCTCCAGGGCCCAACCTTCCCAGCCTTTCTCTTATTAAAACATTCCTCTGAGGGCCGGGGAGATAGCTCAGTAGAATAAGCGCCTGCCTGGCAAGCGCAGGGTCCTGAGTTTCAATCCCCCATACGGGGGTGGGGGGGGTGGGGGAAGACATTAAAAACAAAACACTATAAGGGGCCAGGGAGATGGCTCAGTAGAATAAGCGCTTCCCTGGCAAGCGCAAGGCCTGATTCCCTCCAAATTGGGAATTTGGCCATATTATCTTAAAAACATGCTGGTCAGGTCTTGACTAGACTACGCGAACGTTTAGAAGCTACTCTGAGGAAGAGCAGCACCTCCCGGCCCAGCTCTTTGCTTGCAAGGCAGTCTGTCCCCAAGGACTCCGGTGCCCTCTGCAGCCTGAGCCCCCTCCTACAGCCTATACCCCTCTGCCTAGCTGCTCCCTGGTTACTGGGTAGTTGATGGCATCACAGGAGCCAGCGACAGTAGGCGCTCCCTCCCTGTCTGTCCTCACAGCCCTGCCAGCCATGGCAGCCAGGGGCAGAGCTGGGCCCCTGCAACCCCTCCTGGTTCGGAGGCAAGCACATCTCGGGGACAGCAGGCCCCTCGCTCACTCTGATATTCCACCAGGCTGCATGTTCTCAGCTACTCCAAACCCCTTCTCTGCAGCAAGCTCCACAACCCACTCAGGGCTCTGGCAGTCAGGCACCTGACTTTTTAAAAAGCTTACATTTTTATGCGTCCCTGCATGCAGGACAGAATAACAAACTCCCTTATCAGGAGTTGGTGTGCGGGCACCACCCAACTTTGTTCTTTCCACACCTGCTTCCTTCTCCTCCCTCTCCCCCTCCTGCATCTCTTGGTCCCCTTCTCTTTTAAGAAAAATCAATCTCCCTGCTTCATATTATTTATCTTTTATTTTTATCTTTATCTATACTTTGAGTTTTTTCATATAAGAGAAACCATGGGATACTGAAGCTCGCCTGCCTGGCTTATTTCATTTAATTTTATGATCTCCAAGTGTGTCCCTTTTCCTAAAAATGACTCAATTTATCCTTCTTATAGCAGAGTAGTACTCCATCTTATATGTGCTTTATCCAGTCTTCTCAGCCATTTAACAGTCAAGAGGCTCAGAGAGGTCCAGTGACTGCCTCAAGTCACACAGCATCCCAGTGACAGAGCTAAGGTTCGGAACTAGAGAGGTTTAAGTGCTCAAGGTACTGAGAGTTTATTTTCCCAGTGGGAAGACTCCAACTTTCTTGTCTATGCTCAGAGGGCAGAAACATGCCCACTTCCCCCAAGTGGGCCACCAGTCACGCTGAGGACAAGAGCTGGTCAGTGTGGATACTGGTCAGCCAGGCCCCACACTGCAGGCTGGAGCTGGGGCTCCAACCCCTGTCCCTTGTGAATCAATTTCCCTGGCCTTGGAGGCCCCTGGGGACCCCACCATCTTAGAATAAGGGCACTGTTCCCCTAATCTTGAGGGAAGAAAGAAAACACTATTGAGATTCCTTTCAGAGCCTTCCACCTGCTGCCCAACAGAGAGAGGGGTGGCTCCTGGCCTGGGCCAGCCCACGTGGGACCACTGACTCAGCAGGGAAGGGAGGCAAAACCAGCAGGGTGACACGGGCTGGGGCAGTGGGTGAAGGGCACAGGGATGGGTAGGGGCCTAGCATCACATTGGTATCTTTTACCAACTCAGTCACTGCTTTACTCAGTTTACCCATCTGTAAGATGGGTGCAGTAGACTCAATGGGAAGTCCTTGGCCAAGTGCAGGAGCTTCCCTCAGGGACATATGTTACTTGCCTGTCCTGCCCCCTCCCCACACACTGTGCCACCCCTCAGTGCTGCCCAGCATCCGCCTGGGCTGCCACTGGTCTGAGGCTGCCCAGCACCCCTCACTGTCCTCTCTGGGTTCCCTCCCTGCCGCCCCACTAAACCTCAGTACAGTGGGAAGGAAGTGACACTTCCTTTCATGAAAAGTCACCAACTAAGAACACTGCGCCAATTACATGACAATGGCAGTGAGAACAGTCTCAATAACAACCAGCAGGCACAGCCCCACCCCCTCGCCTGCCCGAGGTTGTTGGCTTAAATTTCTCTGAGCTCCAGCTAGAGCCCAAACAATGCCAGCCTTTGAGGCGGCCGGTCCACTCCACGCCTAGTCCAGGAGCCGGCTGCCTGGCAGTCTGGGTGTGGGGCGTGCTCCAGGCGAGGTTTAGGAGCATGCCTCCAGCCAAGGGCCAGCACTGAGGATGGGGTGGAAACAGCACAGCCCCTCCTTGGGGAGGGGAGAGGGCTAGGGTCTGGGAGATGTGGGGAACCCCAAACAGGCGCCTGCCAGCTTCTAAGCCCCAGTGCGGCTACCTGTCCCATTTACCCAGCTCCGATGGCCCCAAAGATCCTATTCCAGGATGGGATAGGGTGAGTCTCACTGCCCCTCCCTGTCAGGTTGGGAGACCTGGATAGTGAGAGCACCAATCCTGGGGGATGGTAGGGGCTTGGGTACGATGTCACCCCACAGCAGAGGCACTGCCACACACCACCACCTTTCCACTCTCCTCCTGCTCCCATGGCCACATGCCCCTCAACCCCACCCCCTGGGGAGGGCCAAGCTAGATGATGTCCCAGGCCCACCTAGGAGGACAGAGGGTGTGTCCTTCCCAGTCAGGCTTCCCAGACCCCCACCCTGGGAACAGGAGGCCACAGTGAAGAGAGAGGGGCCTGGAGTCTCTCAGGCCTGTCCCTCACTCCCTGCCAGACCCAAGCTGGCCTCTATGCCTCAGTTTCTCCGAGTGTAAATAAAAAATGGAGGCCTCCTTCTAAGACCCTTTCTACCTCTATTACATCAAGTCCTAGGGCTCGCGCAGGTGCAGATCGGACTCTGCCCCGCAGCTCAGGCGGCCACAGCACCTGCAGGCACAAAGCCCCCCTCATGTGCAGCAGTTCTCGGGACAAAAAGCACCTGTCACCCTCCCCTGGGCCCCGGGCCCATCCCCACCACCGCCCAACACTCTGGGCAAACCAGGGACCCTGGGCCAGACCAGCGCAAAAACTGGAGACCTTGATTCTCCCCGGAGCTCCTTGTGCCCGGGGGCCGGCCCGGAGGGCCCTCCGCACTGCGTGCATCGGGGTGCGCGCCCGGGTTGCGCCCTGCCCGGCCGCGCGAGGCCCAGCTCCTCTCCTTCCTGGCGCCCGCGCTCCCCGTCCCGCCCCGGAGACCCGAGCCCCGTCCCTTCCTGGGCCCAGAGGGAAGGGAAAGAAAGAAGAATGAAGAGCAGAGGAGGAAACCCGGGCCGGGGAGAGCGGCTAGGAGCCGAGAAGCGGGGGAGGAGAGAAGCGAAAAAGGGAAGAGAGAAGAGAAGGAGAAGGGCAGGGGCCGGAGCCCGCGAGGCGCGCGGCCAGCCGAAAGCGGAACCGGAGATTCTTCAAAGCCCGGAGCGAGTTCGCACCGCTCGGCCGCTTTCGGGAAACGGCGGCGTGGAAAGCGCCCCGCGCGCGGCGCCCCCTCCCGGTTCTCAGAAGCGCGGGGCCGTCACGGAGGAGGGGGCCGGCCGGAGACTGCTGTGACAGCCGTCACAACAAATTCGCTGAGCCCAGCTCGAGATTGAAACCGCAGCAGGAAGTGGGATGACAGCGCGCGCGGGGCTCGACGGAGGGGAGTTTCGAGATAAGCGCCCGGGAAGCCCCTGGCCGCCCCAAACTTTTTGTCTTTCCTTTTTTTCAAAGCGCGCGCGCAGACACCCAGGTCTCACCCTCCCCGCGCCGAACGTGGGGATCCGGGGTCGTTCCGGGCGCCCAACTTAGCCCGAGCCCACCCCGATCCCCATGGTCGCCCCGAAGCCGCACCCACGGCCACGCGGGGTCGCAGCACCTCAGCCCTCCCCGCGGGCCGCTGAGCCCTATCCCGGGCCGCCCAGCCGCTCACCCATGGCCCGCGAGATCCCGTGTCGGCCTCCAGAGCACCCTTCAAGCGCGCGGCTCGCGGGCTCCGCGCTCTTGGCGCGACTAGCTCGCGGCGCAGCTCGCCTGCCACCTCCCTGCGGCTCCGCCCCGCCAGGGTTCCGCCCTGGCCCGCTCTGGACTCCCATTGGCTAGTCCTGTTCCGCGGATCCGGCAGGGTCCGCCCCTAGGCCCAAGGAAGTCTGGGAGTTGTAGTTGTGCGCACACCTCCACCGGCTTAAAGTCTGGGGCACTTGTCACAGGCATCTCACCTAAGGCGGCTAAAGCAAGACAGCCAGGGGTCATTGCTGTCCTAAACTTCAATTTCCCTAGAGGCAAAACTAGAGTCCTGAAAAAAAAAATCAAATGTTCTACATGCTCTGTACAGGGCACTGAGGGCTGGGCAGGGTGAGCAAAAGGCTTGTGACTTTGAATTAAAGTGGCCCTGGGTGTTCCCATCCACCCCAACCTAAGAGCCGCGGTGGTTAGTGTTTCCCTCACAGGTACCAAACTAGCAAGCTTGAGCCTAAGCTCTGCAGGGTTCCAGAAATGCCTGATGTGCCAGGCCTGCCCTTAATGGCCAGGGCTCACATATGGCATCGCTGAGTGGCAGCCACAAGCGAGTAGTGTGAAAAGGAGGGCACAACCGCAGCTGAGGGAGAGGAGGGTGAGTACAGGCAGGAGGAGGTGCCCAGCCAGCCATGGCGTCACTCTGAGGCTGGGAGTTTAAGAGCATTATGTTTCAGCAAGTAGCTTGACTTGAACTCAGCACACAGTAGGTACACAAAAACTGTGCTGAGGATTTTAACACCCATAGCAGCTCTGTGCATCTCATAGAATTGTTGTCCTCATTTTATAAGATAAAACAGAGCTGAGAGATTAATTAGCTCAGGCAATACAGCTGGTAAGAGGCAGGGCTGCAGCTAAACCCAGGCAATGGGGTCCAGTAGAGGAACCCCGTACCTGGAACCTGTCCATCCTGTGGGCACCGGTCACCAGGCTGCTGTTCGGTGGCCCTGCCTGACACATGGGCCCTTGCCCTTTGGCCTTGGAATAGCAGCTCCCTCCCACTCGGCCAGGGAGGCAGCACTGTGGTCTGTGGGTGGGTTTGTCACAGCCAGAGCCTGCAGGTTTGGTAACAGCCATCTCATTGTCGTGTAAAAATGCCCAGTAGTTGTAATTGAGAAGCCACTGTCCCCTCAGGCCAGCCTAGGCTGTGGCCTGGACACTATGATGGGCAGCTGTCAGGACACTGGATATTCTTCTAGGCCCGCTTCAGCCATTCTGTAGGGATGCTGGGACCCCGTGGGTGCCCAGAGTTGGGCATGGAAACCTGGATATTATCGTCAGGGTCACAGTCTAGACGAGTGGTGGCAAATACGGTACACACCACAGCAGGTACACAGAACCTGTCATCATGTCAGCCACATTTTCCCTGCACTGCCCCAGCAGCCAAGCATTCAGGTTCAATTGCAGTGTTGGCATTTTGCAATAAATAAGCAGGTTTGGGTTGCAGTTTGGGCACTAAAGGGTCCAGCCCCTCCCTGGTGGATTGAATGCTTCCATTGATATGGAGCTCACTACTTCACAAAGCAGCAGCTCATCCCACCTCAAGACAGGGATATCCTCCATCCAGCAGCTGCCCGTGCTCTTCCAGACAGCGGCTGCTGTACACAGCCTCTGCAGCAAGTCAACACCTGCCGGGACAAGCTGGGAACAAAAGGATCTAAATGTAATTCCCTCCCCAGGCAACTACCTGCAATAGAAAGTAATTGACGATGGCCAAAAAATCCTGCAGAAGAAGGGCACCTCTGTCTGCCTTGTGGAAAGCACCAGTACACCCGGGGAGTACTTAAGAATCACACACTCCTGCTGGCTCCTGCAATCTCAGGATCCCAGCTCAGGACGGCCCAGGGACTACGCAGCTGTCCCCTAGCATCATGGTGGGGGTCTCTCCAGAAGAAATGCAAACCAGGAATAAACAAAGACATTCTCCCCAGGAGAATCAGTCTTCTCTGGCACTATCCCAATCCAGTTCCTTCTTCCTCCCTACCGGATTAGTTTGTGTTGTCCCCACCATAGGCATCCGTGGTGGAGTAAAATCTATATAGGTGGGTTTTATGCATGTCTTTAAGTAGAAAGGACCCAATTCTGATTGTCTCATTCCACAACTCACTTTCTCAATCAACCACAGTCCTTAGAGAGCTTTCCAGTAGCTCACAAATCAACCTCTCTCCTGTAGTTTCTGGGCAGCGGGCCCTCGCACGGATGCATGGTTTCTTCATTTAATCTCCTCTTAATGGCTCTTAATGTTTTTTCCAGCTCCAAGGATCCTGCTACCAAGTGTTCTCAGAGACTGAGCTATAGCTGCCTTCTCACACCTCTTGTTGGCCCTTCTAGGAAGGGCACCTGACAGGGAGGGCATTCAAGATCATTTGACTACCAGGCCCAGAGAGGTTAAGTGAGTTGCACAAGGTCACACAGCAGAATCAATGCCGTTACTTCTTCTGGGACCTGGTGAGACATTCAGTACACTCCGAAAACAGAACACACAGCCAGTTTTCTGCCCTAAGAAGCTCTGTTCCCAGGCTCAGCAGTTGCACAAGGCCCCCAGGGCCTCGTTTTCAAAGGAAAAGCAAATCGGGAAGTATTTTTAATACTGGCCCTGCCTGGCTCCCCATGCTGGCTGCCCAGGAAAGGCTTGCTTCACAGTGGCATTCGCAACTCATGGAAAACAACAAACGCCCGAAATAGACGATACCCAAGTCCAGGAATGGAAAAAATTGGCTCATGGTTTCAAATGCCTCTTTTAGAAAAAGACAAGAATAGCTTCTGGCCTTTGGGGAAGTGTTGGGGATGGGAAGCGGGCGGGAGTGATGGTGGCAGGGATGGAACCCCGATCACACACCCAGCTTCCCGCCTGATGGCACTGTGCTACAGGTGTCCCCCACTATCGCCCTACCTTCCTGCAGACTCAGGGTCGGCCTCTTTCTTGGGTGGAGGCTGGGCTGGAGCCACCTCCCGGACCCCTGCCCGGCCAAATCCCAGCAGGGTGGAGACTCCAGTTTCCAAAGTTCTAAAACCTAGAAGATGATAGTCTGATTCTCCTGGGCAGGTAGGGCCACGGGGAAAAATGAGGTTTTGCGCACACACACACACACACACACACACACACACATTCAGGCTGTGTAGCCATGGGCAAGGTACTCAACCTCTCTGAGCCACAGTGCCTCACCTGGAAAGCAGGGCTAATGCTTCATTTGTGCAGGCGTTCATTCAACATGTAGGACTCACAGAGTTCAGCACTGTGTCAGCACTGAGCTAGACAGAGACCTTGCTACGGCCAGAGCAAAGTCCCTAAGTTTGTGGGGCAGAAGTGCACCCAAGGCCAACCGCGGGCTGAGCAGAGTTCTGGTACTGGATGGATGGAAATGCCTTTGACCAGCATTTACCCATCAGGCACTGCGCCAGCCTCTCACTTGGGCCATTCTTGTGTGTGTGCATGCGCACCAGGGACTGAACTCGGGCCCTTCATGCTGAGCTGCATCCTAGTCTTTTTTCAACTTTTATGTTTTGAGATGAGGTCTCACTAACTAATTCACCCAGTCTGTGACCAAACTTACCATCCTCCTGTCTCAGCCTCCCACACTGCTGGGATCCCACGTGTTCAACACCACACACAGCCTTGCTTCTTTCATTTGATGTCACCCCAACCCTATGAAGTGGACATTGTTGTCACTAGAGCATCCAGTGACATTGAGGAACAGAGAATAGATTCTGTGCCACAAATAGGAAGGAAAAAGGACCTTATGCTGGGTCTCGGGATCTGGGTAACTGCAGCCTGATTCTGTGTGTCACGCTGTGCTGCAAGTGGCAAGTTTAGACTGGAGGTCACTGAACAACGCACGGGACACAGAATTTGTAGTCAGGTAGTATCTGTGTGCCACATACTTAGATCTCAACTGACCCCCCACCCATGTTCTGTGGCTGTCCCTCCCATTTGCGAGATGGGTAAAGTAATGTAAGTAGTAGGTAAGTGGCTTCTGCCTGCCAGGCAGAGATGGGGGTGGGGTCTAAATGCTGTGGTCAGAAGAGAACTACATCTCCCAGGATGCAGAGTGTGTGCGGGGGTGGGGAGAAGCTCATCGTGTAATTTCTTGGCATTGAAAAAAAAGAGGAGGGGGGAGGTGCGGGAGCAAAAGTAAAGAGAGAAAGTATCAAAGCCTCAAGCGTCACGTCTAGGAATAGCCTCGGAGTTGGGCCAAGTCATTATAGATGATGAGTAATCCGGTTAAGTCATTTCTCTAAACACCATTCCTTGTAAGAGAATTAAAATATCAGCTTACATCAGAGTGGGGGGAGGCGGTTCCAGGGGGCTGGTGAGTGGCTGCGCTGGATGCCAACAGCTATGGCTCAGTGCCAAGGCACTGCCAGCTGCGACTGAGCTCTGGCCCGGGACTGGAAAATATGGGGGGGGGGGCGGGCAGCCTCAGCTTACCCTGCTGCAAGGGAGTTTGGGACTGCTTCCTTTGCTTGGAGTCGTGTCCCTCGTGGGGGGCGGCCCTGCGAGGTGAAGGAGGGATTAGACGGTGGAGGGGGGATGTGCCCCACCTCCCCCGTTAATATCTGGACGTTGTCATGGCCACCCACAGCCTGGTGACACAGATGGGGAGGGGACAGGAAGATCTGATTTTCCTCTGGATTTCCAGGAAAGGGGGGGGGCGCTTATGTCCTTTTCCCCCCATTTCTTTTTAGCTGCCCTGTATTAAGGGGCCGTGGGGCTAAGACAGCCCCTAGGTTCATGGGATGAGGGTGGTGGTGAGCCCTGACTTTGACCTCCTAAGCACAATGAGCTAGGGGGGCTGATCACCAGGGCCTCAGGACCCCTAATCCCCGCCCTCTGCATCACCAGTTGTACGCAGACCCGGACTTGTGCCCTAACCTGGACCCTTGGCAGGGGAGGCCCAGAGACCCCTTAGCTTCCGGGGTCCTGAGCAGAGCCCAGCCCAGCCCCGGGCGCCTTCCCCTGAGTCAAGCTCTTTTCAGACTCCCTCCTTTGCTCAAGAGGCTG